ACAAAGAGAACGCGCCAGTTTCCCAGGGGCCAGCGAGCTCGAAGGGACAGCTGCCGTGTCGCGGAAGCAGTCCGCGCGGGCAGAGGGACGGGCTTCCGAGGTCTGAATGGACACCCGAGACCCGCTTCCTGCGGCGCTTCGAGGCAGGGATTCTGAGGAACTGGTTAGCGGCACCAGACCCTTCCCCCGGGCCCCAGGAGGCAGCAGCCCAGCACCCCCAGCTCGTGGACGGCTGGCCCTGGGATGAGAACGGACACTCCTGCCGTGGGAGCCGCCGTTAGAGCAGCCCAAGCCGATGCGGGCCGCGGGCCCCCGTGTGGAAGAGGGTGACCAAGGTGCTGACTTGAGGGACATGCGGGTGCGTGTCAGGGACCTCCTGCTGCAGGTGGGCGCAGGTGCCGTTGGGAGGCCAGCCCGGGAGGCCCACGCCGAAGCCTTCCTGGAGCGTGCTGTGTCCCTGCATGGGCAATGCCGTGCCCTCGGCGGGGTGCGTCGGGGCCGCCGTGGCCTGTCCTCGAGGCGTCCGGGGTCAGAGCACCGGCGAGGAGGAGCAGTGGCCAGGGAAACGCACAGCACCCACGAGTTCCACACTCAGTGCGCAGGTGAAAAAGGGAAAAGAGCAGGTTGGGCCTGATCCGAACTGTCTTCACGAATGGAACGGCATCTAGCAAAGAGAGAGCCCCGCGTCCCTGTCTTCGGGTTTAAGGCTACTGTGTGACTAGAAGACTGAGTTTTAACATTTAATGCTCCAGGATCTGGAAAATCTCTTACCATGTAACATTGGGAGATACTTCCTCGGGGGAATAAGTGTAACCACCGTGCACACGGTGTCACGCGTCCCTCTGAGTAAACCCACGTTCGAGGGCGCTCTGGGAGCACACAGCAGCCGACCGACTGGGCCTGAGCCTTCCACCCCCCAGGCGGAGTGCGACTCCAGAGCCCGAGCGGAATGGAGTTGTGGGTTTCAGAATCACGTCTGGCAGAAGCTATTTTATCAGATATACAAACACACACACATGTGCCACACACTACCGTGTACGCGCATGGGTACACGTGTGTATGTCCTTCGTCATGCTTTGAATTTTAAATCTTATCTAAGAAAATGTACCCAACACCGGCCAGATATCCGCCCCGGGGTCTGCCTGCATCTTAATCTTGAAAATGCAAAATGAAACCCTGGTGAGGGCATCAGCTGGGACTGTCCCAGGGAAAAAGGAGCAGCTTAGGTTTAACAAGAGAAATGTCTGTTTCTTTTTCATGTAAGGCCATCCAGGACCGAGCAGCTGCCCCACAGCCGGGAGACCCGGGCTTCTTCGTCCACATGTGGAGGTCATCACCTCACAGCACAAAATAGCTGCTCAAACTCCAGCCTTCATGGCCACGTTTCCACCAGCAAGCAAGAGGAGGACCCACCAAGGGGTTGCTCTCCCTGTGAGAATCCTCCCCTAAAATGGCTTTAAAGTGACCAGAACTTGGTCACTTGACCACACTGGCCACAAGGGAGGTGGGAAGTGAGGTAGCCTTCTGCTTGCCAAAAATCGGAGCTATTCCTGGGGCAGAAGAAGCGGGGGGGAAGGCGTAAAGAGAGACAAGCAGAAGAGAGCAGCACGGACTTCCGCATGGTCTGGGAGGCGAGGCAACGGGGAGCACTAACACTTGAGCAGCGCTCGGCATTCTCTTCTTCCGTCTGCCCTCCCGGGCTCATCCAGCAGCACCCCGACTCCTCCAGGTGCCAGCGGCTCACAGCTACCCCGTCCTGGTGCCCCAGGCCGGTGCTCCTCCCCACACAGCCAGGTCTCAGCTCGGTCCCACTGGCCCTGGGACCAGACGCCTCCACGGCCGCCCGCTCTCCGCCGTGAACGGCGACTGCGGGGAGTTTGGGAGGGAGTACAACCACGGGCCTGATGCTCCAGAAAGATGAGGGCCCTGCCTGCCCCCCTTCCCTCTGAGCCGCACCCTGGTCTCCCCGGCGTGTGGTTCCCTCTGCCTGGCCCAGAACCGGGTGGACACAGACTCGCAGAGAGGGCTCCTGCAGGCCCGGTGCCGCTGCCCTCCCTTGTTCAGGTGCCTGCACGTTGCTGAGTGGTGCCCCGGCTCGGTCCTCCTGCCCGCAGGGAGGCAGCCCATCGCGCACCCGTACCGCAGCGGGCTCCCTGCTGGCTACGTGCAGTTTCCACCTCCGGGCTAACAGGAACCGCGCTGCTGTGGACGTCCTGGAGCACAGCTCTCTGCGGACACGTCATCCGACTTGGGTAAACCCCTAAAAGTACATTGTGGGGCTTTAGGGTAGCAGCTTGTCTAACTCTATTAAAATCCTTCTGTTTCCCAGCGACTGTACCGTGTTTCCCTCCCACTGGCCATGGGAGAGGGTCCCCGCGGGTGTATGTCCCCGATACGGATCACGGTCAGTCTCTTCCGCTTCAGCAGCCGCGTGGGTCCTCGGCAGACTCTCGCGCGAGTTCTGTATTTCCCGATGACGCAGGGTGCCGCGTGCCTTTCCATGTGGCTCACTCAGCGATCTCAGCGCTTCCACTGTCCAGTGCCTGTCCGCATCTTCTGCTCAGTTTTTGGTGTGTTGTCTTTCCTTACAGACTTATCGGCTTTTAAAACTACGCACTGGGTGCAGTTTGCACGTCAGGTTTATTTGTCGCGATTATTTTCTCCCAATCTGTTCACTTTCTTTACAGTCTTTCGAAGAGCAGGGTTTCATTTTTGATGAGGACAGCTCTGCTCTTTCCCTCGATGGCTTCACTCTTTGTGCCCCAGCTAGGACGCTTCCGTCTGCCCCAAGATGGGGCGCTATTTCCTTTCTGTCCCCCACACACGGCCTGTGACCTGACTCTGACGAGGGCTGCGTGGTGGGGGGGGCTGCGTGTTCCGTTGCCCACCCACCTCCAGGGTGTCCTGGCACCATGGTGAGAAAAGACCGTCCTTTTCCCTGCATCAGCATGTCAGCCAGATCCGCAGACTCTGGACACGGGATCTGGTTCTGAACTCTGTTCTGCTCCGCTGGTCTACAGTCTTCTGTACTGTGACGGCCTTACTGTCACTCTTGAAATGATGGAGTGTGAGTCCTCCAATGCTGCTGTCCCCCTCACGGTCGTCTTGGCCACTCCAGGTCCTTTGTGTTCCCATGGATATGTTAGGGTCAGCTGTTGATTTCCAGAAAAAGGTCTGCTGGCTTGTGGCTGGGATTGCACCTCCACGGGAAGGACCGCTCGCAAACCCGAGTCTTCCCGCCCTCCATGTCGCCCTCTCCCCACTTCTCAACCAGGCTTTGCAGCTGTAGTGCTGGGAAAGTCACCTCTTTTGTTAAATTCGTTCCACATTGGTTTGTTTTTGATGCTTTTCTCAATGGGGGGGGGGGCCCTCTGTGCTCTTCTGTTTGTTGCCAGCATTACGGGTCCCATCAACACCCATGTGCTGGTGCTGGGCCCTTCCTGGCTGACTTCACTTTCTCAGCCGATGCTGGGTCTGGAGATGCCGCAGGACTCTCTACCTCGCCGTCCCATTAACCAATAAAACCATCAACCTGGAAATGTTGGGTCGGCTCCGGGAGTGCAGGAGGAACACTAGAAATGACCACGGGGCCCGCCGTCTTCCAGCCTCCCCCACTCTTCCTTCACCCTTGACTCTCCCGCCAAAAGAATGTATGCCAGGTCACGTGTCCATAGGTAACCCGATACCTATGCAGGAAACAGATAAAAGACCCCCACCAACTCCCTCTCAGCGCGACTTCCCCGACTCCCCTTTCCAGAGTCCCGGAACCTCGCCTGTCTCCTCCCCGGCGCGACCTTCCTGGCTCCCCGTCTCCTGAGCCCTGAAGCTTCGAAGCTTCGCAGGAGACGCCTTTAGTAAATCCTGCCTTGTGCCCGCCTCGCCTGGTGTCGTGTTTATCCCGCCTATAAAACCTTACAGCAAAGGGTTCGACTGTCTTATCCTTTAGAAACAACCCTCCCCAGAAGACCAAGTCCCTGCCTCATCGCTTTCCATCAGAAGACAAGTTTCCTGGAAAGGTGTGCGCTCCTCTTTGTCTCCACTGCGGACCGCCCTCCCTTTCTCATCCCTCCAGTGCTCCCCCCGCTTCAGAAAATGGCTATTCTTGGTCGCTCAAGGCCTCCCCGTTGTTAATTCCAACCGCTGCTTTTCAGGGCTCATCTCACTGACCTCTCGGCCACATCTGATGCAGCGGCCCCTCCCCCAACACCCCTCCCTGGGCTCTCTGGGGCCCTGCCCGGCTCGCCCTCCACCTCTCTGCCCCAACCCCCAGCTCTTCCCGCTGCTCCTGGCCGAGGGGTCTCCAAGGCTGGGGGGGGTCTCCAGCCCGGCTCCCCCCGGAAGCTTGTCCACAGCCGCGCGCGCAGAAGCGCGCAGACCACCTCCGGCCCAGCGCAGGCGAGGCCTCCGCCTCCCAGACGCCCAGACGGAGCGGCCCCCCCGGCTCGGGAGCCGCAGCTGGGCTCAGCCGGCCAGCGCGGGCGCGACCCTCTCAGGATCCGAGCCCCAGACCCGCATCCACGGTCGCGGCCGCTGCGCCCGCGGCGTCTCCAGGTCGCTCAGCCTCAGCCCAGGCGGGCCGAGCAACGGTGAGCGGGATCCCGGGTCTGCAGAACGCACGAGGACGCACGGGAACTGCACCGGGCAAGAGTCTGGGCGGGAACAGTCGGGCCAGACCCAGGGGCGTCCCCGACCTGGGGGCTGCTCGGGCGGGGGCGCGGGGCGGCTGCAGCATCTCCCCGGGAGGGTGGAGGGAGCGGCGCGAGGCGGGGCGCCCGGGCCAGCGTGGGGCCCCGACGCGAGCGCGCCCTGCCCTGGCTCCGCTCCCCGGCCTTCGGGGCCGCGCGCCCGCCCCCACGTCGCTGGCGGGAACCGGCGGGAGTGAGCGCTCAGGGCGGGGCCCGGGCGGCGGTCCGCCTCCGACTAGTGTGGCCCCGTCGCCGACCCGTAGCGCCGGCCGCGTCCCCTCGGTCGCTAGGCAACCACCCGCCGCCCCTGCCGGAGAAAGCCAGCGGCGCTCGGTGCGGCGCCATGGACCTGGTCATCACGCAGGAGCTGGCCCGCGCCCAGAGCCAGCAGGGTGGGCGCGGGTCCCGCCCCCGGCCCGAGGGACCCGGAAGCCCCCAGGACCCTGCCCCCGGGGAGGCGACACACCCGTCCCAGCGGACCGCAGACCGGGGCGGCCGGGTCCCGCCTGGGGGTTCCCACTGGAGGAGGTCCGGCCCGCGCCCCCACCCCCGCCGCAGGACCCCCGCGGCCCGCGTCGTCGTCCTCCACGGGGGCTCAGGATGCCTGCCCCCTTCTGCGGACGCTCGGGCCTGGTGGAGACTGTGGGCGGGGGGAAGGGGTGCGGCCGCGGGGGGTGGAGCCCGGTCCGCGGGAGGGTGGAGGCCGGACCGTGGGGGGCGGAGCCGGGTCCGCGGGGGGCGGAGCCGGGTCCGCGGGGGGTGGAGCCCGGACGGCGGGGGGCGGAGGCCGGACCGTGGGGGGTGGAGCCCGGACGGCGGGGGGCGGAGCCGGGGCCGCGGTGGGTGGAGCCGGGCCTGCGGGGCTGGGGGGGGGGGGGCGGAGGCCGGACAGCAGGCCCCTCCCACACTGGTCCCTGCTCGCAGTGATGCCACGTGCGCTCTCTCCTCTGCGGTCCTGGTAGATGAGGCCGCCCTGAAGAGGGCTTACGAGCTGATCAAGTCGGCCAGCCTCGGGAGGTCAGAGTTTGACCCCATGGAAAGCTTCAGCCCCGATCTGTTTGTTTTGTGCGCAGAACAAGCCCTGAAGGTACTGAATTCGGGGTGCGGGGGGGGGGGTCGGTGTCCTAGGAGGGTCACTGTTTCTGGGAGCAGGAGGCAGAGCCGGAGAGAGCAGGAGCCCCGGGTGGGGGTGGGGCGATGCAGTCCTCTGGTCTGTCTTCAGAGCTGCTGCCTGCCAGGCTCTCTGCAGACACCCCTTCTGGGGTGTTCATGGCAGGACTGCGGTGTCTTGCAGATGGGGCACCCCGCGGTGAGCGATGACTGCCTCCGGATGTACTTCAAGGTGAAGGGGCCCGTCACCCAGTTCCTGGGCCGAGCGCACCTGTGCCGGGCCCAGCTCTGTGCCCCCAAGTCCACCGAAAACCTGGTAAGAGACGCCCCAGAGGGCAGGCCTCCATTTGAGGGTGACGCTTTTTGGGGCACAGCCAGCCCCCCAATGCACCCCCCACGCTAGGTCCCCATTCCTAAACAAATGCTACGGGCTTGTGCCGCCCCGGGTTTTCCCTGAGGCTGCCTTGATTCTCCTCAAAATGTTACGTCTTGTGTCAAAAGACTTACAGTCTCATCCGAAATTGCAGTCGGGTCAGGCAAACCCTCAAGAACTCCAGGGGAAGGTCTGCAAGCGATTCCTTGTCAGTGGTGGGAAACGGGCCTGTTCCCCAAGTCCCTGTCTGACTTTGGGCGCCTGCATGCTCGTGCTCTGGTCGTGCCCAGGACAGCTGCCCTGGACCTGGGCCGGGTGCGCGTGCGGACTCGCGAGGTGCCCCGGCTCCGGCTGCTCACATGCAGGCTCCCAGGCCAGTCCGTAGGCGGCTTAATGTCCACGGACGTGGCCGCAAAGGATGACTGATGTTTCAGTGGCAAATCCAATATAATGATGCATTTTTATGTTGTTTTAGGAGGAATTTGAAAATTGTGTGACTCAGTACATGAAGGCAATAAACTTTGCAAAAGGGGAACCCAGGTAGGCGTAATAGAATCGGCCGTTTCTAACTGGGATTGGGTAAAAGGTCCAGGACCAGGATTTACCACATGCTTCTGCCTGTTGAGACTGTGGGGGTTATCCTTGCGGTGCCCTCGCTGAATGCTCTGTCACTAATGTGTAGGTCTGGGCCGAGCACAGGAGTCCCTTGGCCTCACCCTTTTGTCTGTCCTGTGGTTCCTGTGATCACATGGTTTTTGTCTATGGGAACTTCTCCCTTGGCTGGTCTCCATGGCCCCCTTACTCTCTGGGCCTCGGTGGGTTCAGCATCAGGGTCCCTCCCTCCCCAGCCCCCGCTCGCCCACATCCGCTCTCGCAGACGGGCCGAGGCCTCACGTGCACAGCGATTCAGCGGCAAGTCCTGCACACTTTCCTACTGAAGGTTTCCTTCATCAAAAAGAAATGTTGTTGAAACCTTACGTTTGTACGCAAAGTGGTAGTAACTCGACCTATTTGAGTAGGATGCACCACTTTCGGGACGAGCAGGTGTGAATCCCGACTCGTTCCCTGGGTCTCCCGATCAGTGCTCTGACAGTCTCCTCCCCAGGCCCCTGGGGCCTTACAAGGCAGAGCTGGCCTCTCAGAGGGGCTGGGAGCAAGAAAGGCCGATTGGCCCCTGTGGGACCCTCACTCAGATTCCTCCAGGCTCTGTCCAGCCTTCAGGAAAAAGCACACCATCTGAGGGGTGTCCCTGCTCCCCTCCTCACCCCTCCTCCTGCCCCACTTTGCACTTCATGCTCAGGCATGGGGACTTTGGTCCCCAAAGTTTCTGCTCTTCTTCCCCTTTTTCTTTTCTTTCTTTTTTTTTTTAACCCGCCAGACCCTTTCCCTGCGCTGCTGTCTGGTCTTAGCAGGATGTTCCTTCCTTCAGGAAGCCTTCCTCGATTCCCTCTGCACTTGCCTGTTCTTGTCTATCTCTTGGGAACCAAAGGAGACCTTGCTGGCTGGTGCGTTTTCACAGGGAGCCGATCACTTTTGGAATGACCGAATGGGTGAAGGAATCTCTAGTCTGGCCTCAGGACTCACGTGGCCAGGTCATCGTGGCTGGACTTGACCTGTAGCCTCCACGCCCTTCTGCATAGGCCGTGTGGGTGTGATTGGCCCAGAGCGGCTCAGATCGTGCTGTTGCCATCAGCTGGAGACAGAGGACTCAGGGACTCAGGACTGGCTCGGGATGGGCTCCTGGCGGGCTGGGGACCTGCTCTCAGATGACCTTTGCGCGCCCTGCAGGTACTACTTCCTGGTGTATAACGCATCGGTCCTCTACTGGCAAATGGTGAGGCCGTTTCTCAAGCCGGGCTATCACCACCATCTGCTCTCCAGCTTCTCCCAGATCGTCAGTGTGTTAAACCAGACTGAGGAGGAAGACACGGAGTGGCAAGCAGAGCTGATGCTGTGAGTCGAACGCCCGGCCGCGGGTCCCTAACCAAAGCACACGCAGCCTCTGACCTCCTGCCCCTCCCGCTCGCTCCCGGCAGGAGGGTCATGTCACAGTGCAGGGCGGATATCACTGCTCTAATCTGTAGCTACAGTTACGTTTTGTGTGTGTCTTGTCTGATGAGGTCTGCAGACGAAATCACAGCGTCCTGATCGTGGGGGGTTATAACAAGACGAGTGCTTGGACTCGGAACACAGGAAATGTGAGCTTGGGTCATAATCCTGGCTTGTGGTTTTAACTTGGTTCAGTGAATTGTTAATGGGGTAGACATTTTAGCAACGTAAAACTCGGCCAGGATGGCCCTGTTTAGGGAGGTGTGTGCCTGGTGCCTCACCGGAGAGACAGGCCCGAGAAGCCACCGTGAGTTATGTCAGCGTGTGATCCTTGTGCTGAGGGGACCAGGGGGCGAGCAGCCAGACTTTTCCTATCTTTGGGGAGCACGACATGCAGGCCAGAGACTGGGGGAGTGTCTGCAAGGGGGACCCAGAGGACGTGCCCTGAACTTGGAATCCAGAATCTATAGGCTTTCCTTTCCCTGCTTTATGGCTGTTTAGGGAGCTTTTAACAGAAAGTAAGTATAAATACAATCTTTCTGAAAAATGCTATTTTAAATGTTCGAGGTAGTTACGGTGCAGACATTTCCTGTCCCTGCTGACAAGGGTAGCGCAGCTCGCGGACGCTGGCGCGGTGAGGAGCCGGCTGAGCCGCGTGTCTTTCTGAAGTTTGCGCGACGTAAGAAACGCATAATAACCTGGTTACTGGACATCTGCGGTGGGAAACGATTTTATCCGGTTTTAATTTCTAGTTGGTTTGTATTCCCCAGGGAGCTCCTGGACTGTTATCTCCAAGCCGGAAAAAAGGAAGAGGCCGCGAAGCTTTGTGCCACCGCGGCGCCGTTCATAAAGGCTAACGTGCCGCACAAACACCGACACATCTATTCCGTCATGGTGAGTTGGCATGTGGGAGGTGCGGGCAGAAGTGACGTTCTTAAACGTCGTCTTTGGGGAACTCTGTGCAACAACGGCCAGGTCCGTCCACCGGGAGAAAAGCACACGTGCGTCGTGCATCCATTGACAAAAAAACAAAATCTTTGCCTTCATTGTGATCTTCGAATATTTCACTCGTAACAGCATTGGATTGAGAACAGGCTAGCAGAAGCTTTGTTAAGATTAAGGAATCATAAACCCCAGAACGTGTACGGGGACCGTCATCCGCTGCTAACTTGGTGTACGGGAAACCAACTTAGGTTCTCCATGAAAACTAAATATAAAATATAATTAACGAAGAGGTACTTGTTCATTATAAGTATTATTTTAAAAGAGAAATAATTGTAAAATAATAACTAATATCTGGATTTCTACCTAATTCTTTGTTTACATCAATGGATAATTCTCGTCCATTTCGTGACAGGTGCGGCATGGACTGGCGGACGAGCTTCAGTTAGCGGAAGAGAAGAAAACCTCCACCAGCCTGGCCGTCACTTACCACATCAATATGCTGAAAGCGTAAGTGGCTTAGGAGTTTTAGGTGCTGACTCAGGGCCTGGGTGGCACCTAGAGGGGATGTGGCTGTGTCGGGGGGTGGGTGACTGGAACAGGAGGGAGAGGCCTGGGCCCAGAGGATGGGACTCTGCCTCCCTTTACTTAGAAGTGGCCAGGGAGGTGGCCAGTGGGTGAGTGTAGCTTCTAAGCCAGCGAGGAAAGCGGTTACGGAGGAGAGGCACTGGCGGGGCGAGCTCTGTCTGATGGGCCCTTCCAGATGAGCCTTCCCACTTGACCTTGACATTGAGCAGAACAGGAGGGGTTGACTTGGATAGCACCCTGACGGTAGTGGTTCGAAGTGGAGGAAGAACGGACCCAGGTGCGGGCAGACACCTGCTAGAGCGGCCAGAGGGGATGAAGCGGGGGGAGAGCCGCTGTGTGCGAGGGAAGAGCCGTGGGGAGATCCAGAGCGTGTGAGGCGAGGGTGCGGAGACCCTTGTGTGTCTGAGCAGGGGAGGCACAAAGGGCCCAGCCAGCCTGCAGGTTTGCCCTCCTGCGGGGCTGGTTCCGGCAGAGGCCCGTGCGGGGAGCGAGGGCCGTAAGGAGGCATGAGAAGTCATCTTGGACAGTGAAGGAATGAGGGAGGAGGGCTTTTTAAGGCCCCTGTTGAGTGGGAAACACGGGTTCCTAGACTTTCTGTCTCTCTTAGGATAATTGGAACAAATCTGACATGATATTTTGGTTTTATGTAACGTTTGAATAAATTCTAGGAAATTGGATAAGAATGAGTTGCCTGAAGATGTGGACGCCGTTCTGAAGAAGGCCTACGGGTGTTTAAGTTCTTACAGTCACCAGCGCTCCCCTGCGGTCCGAGAGGAGCAGTAAGTGTTTGGTTTTTCCGCCGCCACGGCTACGTGGTCATTGTGCCGTAGCAAGGGTCAGCCCCGGCCGACTGTCTGCTCTTGGTTTGGCCTTGACGTTCGTGCTGCCTGGGAGCATTCGGGACACGAAACTTCGTGTCATACTTTCCCTAAAATCAAGTCCAGCTTCCCAGCACAGGTACGTGTCAAGGTACTGAAACATCGCACAGCTTTGTGGGCAGCAGCGAAACGTGTCCGCGGCTAGACTCCTCTGCCCGCGGGCTCGCTTTTCAGTCCTGCGCCTTCCTCCGTCCCCTGGCGCCGCTGGCGTTTGCAGACATCCCGGACTGGGTTCCCGGGAGCGGAGAGCCGCGCAGCGGCTGTGGGCAGGAGCGGGAGTGCGCGCTGTCCCCGCAGGGATGACGGGGCGGGCTTCCCGGTCGGCCGCTGTCCTGTCACGTGCTCACGAGTGCTGACTCGGAGCAAAAAGCACCAGCCCTGCCTGCTGAGGTGGTGGCTGAAATGACTCCCTGCTCTGGTCCCGTCTGTGTGTCCCGATTACCACGCGGCGGCGTACTGCTCCGCCGTGGGGGCGGGCCTCCGAACCACGGCCTTTTGAGCTCTCAGTGATTGTCTCCTCCACTTCTGCACGCTCCCAACACACGAAACATTGTGGCCGTGGTCTGTAATCATTACTTGTGTATTTTTTCACTCTGTCACTCATTCGTTAATTTTAGGGTGTTATGGGTGGAATTGTGTCCCCCCCAAAAGACCTATTCAAGTCCCAGCCCTTGCTTCTGGTGAACATGATTTTATTTGGAAACAGGGTTTTTACAGAGGTCATCAGGCTCGGGTGGGGTCACACTGGATTGGGATGGACCCTCACGGGCGGCTTGCGTCCTCGTAAGAAGAGGGAGGTCTGGGACGTAGATGCTCACGGGGCAGAAGGCCGGGTGACGCTGGAGGCAGAGGTCGGAGCATTGCAGCTACAAGCTGATGAGCGCAAGGCTGCTGGCGACCGGCAGAAGCTGACAGAGCAGGACGGGTCTTGCCCTGGGCCTCAGGCTCCTGGCCTCCAAAACTGTACGAGATGAAATTCTGTCGTTTAAGCCAATTAGTGGCTGGTAGCCCATCACTGCCGCCTCCGGAAACTCGTCTGGGGGTGTGATAACCAGTCGCCACGTCACAAGTTACCCCAGAGCCAGCGGCGTAGGACACGCGCGCTCATTGTCTAAAGCTGCCTGCGGACGGGCATCCAGGCACTGCTGCCATTCGGGGGTTGGAGGGGCGCAGGGGCTGCTCTGTCGGAGCCCGCGGGGGACCGCTGACCCGCGCACGGGGAGTCGGAATTGAGTGGGACGTGGTCCGGCGCCAGGCTGCGCTCTCCTAGAGGGACGGGGTCACACAGGCTGTGAGCACCAGGGAGCAGGGGCCCTGGGCCTCTGGAGGCCGCCGTGGTAGATTGGATGAAGGGGCCCCAGATGTCTCCTGTCCGTGTTGTCACTTCTGGAGGAGCTCCTCCGCGGCTCTTGGATTTATACGGATTTAATGGGCCAGGGCTGGTGTCTATACATATGTTTAAACTTATTTTTATCATGCGGTGCCTGGGGACGCAGTTGGTTAAACGTCTGACTCTTGGTTTCGGCTCAGGTCACAACGTCAGGGTTGTGAGATCGAGCCCCTCATCGGGCTTCCTGCTCAGTGCAAACTCCATTCGTGATTTTCTCTCCCTGTGCCCTACCCCGTGCTCACGCCCTCGAAAAGAAATAAATCTTTAAATGGGTGGATTCCATCATTTTTCTCTTATTTCAAATTGAACATGCAGTAGTTATAGGGAGTTCGGAAATGGATCAATGTGTACTTCCAGCATTAACATCTCACAGGCTTTTAGCTGCTTTTCCCGTAGAAATTGTGAGCCTGTTCCTGCATCACAGACTGTCTGCAGTGAAGTTCTTAATGTGGGTTCTCCGGCCCTCTGGGGCGTCGGCCAGGGCACTTCGCGTTAGAGAGACCTGGCACGCGTCTGCACGACCGCCGCGTCCCCTCGGGCCTGCCATGGTACAGCTGGGCCCTCCCCTGTGGTCCCGCTACTGATGCGGGCAGCTCCAGGAAGTTTCTAGAAATGGGACTCTGGGGTACTTGAGACATGCTGCAAAAGCCATGTGGAGCCCACCTGTGAAGACCCTGGCCTCTGACCTCTCTGGTCACCTCAGGGCAAGTCGGAGGAGGGGCGCGCCACTGCTCCCACCCCTCCCTCTGACTGCTATTGTTTTGTCCTGTTTCCTGGCATTTTCCCCCTTTATTAGTTTCCTATACACTTATTTTGCCCCGTTTTTTTTTTTTTAAAGATTTTATTTATTTATTTGAGAGAGAGACAGTGAGAGAGAGCGTGAGCGAGGAGAAGGTCAGAGGGAGAAGCAGACTCCCCGTGGAGCTGGGAGCCCGATGCGGGACTCGATCCCGGCACTCCGGGATCATGACCTGAGCCGAAGGCAGTCGTCCAACCAACTGAGCCACCCAGGCGTCCCTTGCCCCGTTTTTTAATAAGGGTATAAACCATTTCATTACTGACTTGCAGAAGCTTTTTCTGTTTTAAAATTTGGGCCCTCCAGCTCCCGTATGTTTATCCCTTGTCCCAGTTTGTGTACCTTGTAGGTTTTTAACATTAATTTCTGATGTACAGGAATGTTTTATTTAATCTAAGACTAACTTGAACTCACATTTATCCCCCCCAGTCCGGGGCCTGTTGCTCAGTCCTTCCCCAATAGCCCCATGAGTCGAGGCTGACCTGGGTCCCACAGAAGCCCAGGGCTGTGTGCCTCCCCCCAGCGTGAGCCAGCCTTGGCCTTGTGTCCCCACCTCTCCCTCTGTGCCCAGCAAGGCCGTCCCACCCTCCAGGTTTGAAGATGGTCCTTGCCCCTGCGGTGTCGCTCTGGCTTTCCCTTCCCAGGAACTTCTGCTTTTCCTGCGTGTGGCCCCAGGGGCTGTGTCGCGGCTCCTGACACCGACAGCTGAGTTTCCTCGGCTTCCCGCACCGTCGGCCTTCGCCAGAGGTGCTGCTCGGGCTGGAGGAGGGGGCCCGTCCCGTGCGGCCTGGGCTCCTGTCCCATGGGCCTCAGCTGCCTTCTGTGTGTTCGCTGGGGGTCATTCCTTGTCTGACGGCCTGCGGCTCCGACTTTGAGGGAGGGGCTCTGCTGACCGCCTTCCACCCGGCTTCTGTGCCCAGAATTCTGGGCGGGAAAAATGTTCTGTTTAAAAGTAAAAAAAAAAAAAAAAAAAAAAAGGGACTGAAACTCCGTGATTTGTACCTTTTTGGGTTCTCCCTCTTAACCTGTGCAGTGGGTCCAGGCGGCCAGAGGTCCGGGAGCACGGAGGGGCCAGATGTCAGGAGGCGAGGCCTGCCGAGGCCCTTGGGGCTCCAGGGGCTGAGCAGGTGGACGAGGCGGTGGGCCGGGACAGCGGGAATGCAGGGGGGAGGGTGGCAACACTGGGTTCGGTTATTACAGCAGACGATCCGCTTGGGGATCGTGCAAAGACTGCGATGGTTCCCTTGCAAAGGGCAGAAGGGGCTCCGGCTTGTCCCAGGAGACGTTTGGCATGTCTGGAGGCCACGGGGGGCTGCGGCGGGGAGCTGCTACTGGCGTCTGGTGGCTGCCGCTGAGGGTCCTGGGTGTGCAGGGTCTCCCGAGCCCCATGGAGAACTACCTGGGCCGGGGTGTCAGGTCAAGGGGGACCCGGGCCCGTCCTGCTCCAGGCCTGCACTCCTGCGGTCTTCCACTAGTCTCAGATCACGCCGTCTGGTCTGCAGCTCGTTCCCCAAGTTGCCCCGGCCGTCACGGGTCCTTTGCCCTCCCAGACGACGTTAGCATCGCCTGCCGCTTTGTGCAGGGCCCCCGGGACCAGCGGTGCCTCCGGATGCGTGTCCCGTGGCCAGAGGAAGCGGCTTTGAGTCAGGAAGTTCGTGTCTGTTCCCTGTGTTGCTCCCACAGCTCTGCTGAGTCGGACAGGGACACTGGGGTGCTGATGGCCGTGCGGGCTGCTGTCCCCGTCCCCTGCCCTGTGCTTGTCCCCGTCCGAGGGCACAGGAGGAGGAGCAGGTCCCTGAGCGGACTGAGCTCATTTCCGCCAAGTGTGGCGTCGGGGCCTGGTGGGGGCCGGGCCTGGGGACCGTGGCCGCAGGAGGTTTGTTTGGTGTTTATCTCCCGCGTGGGGTTAACCAGCGACCGCTGCTTCCCCGTCGGGTCGAGGAGCACGCGGCCGTGCCCCCCGGATGCCCGGACCAACGTGGGGCCCGTCTGTTTCTTCACTCCCAGAATTCTTCTGCTCTGCGAACTGGCCCGGCTTTCTCTGGCCTTGAAGTGCGAGGAGATCGCCTCCGCCTGCCTCTCCGACCTGCAGAGTGTCGACAGCAGAGTAAGCGGCGGGCGGCTGTGCGCGTGCTCGGGGAGGGCCGGGGCGGGAGAGCGGGTCTGAAGCCCGCAGCAGGGGTGTGGCGGCGAAGAGGCACCGGATGTGCAGGGGTGCGGCCCCTTGGCAAGAGGGTGCGGCTCGTGCCCCCAGTCTCGCCGCCCTTGAGCCGCGGCCCAGGTTGCTGCCGGCCGCCCCACGACTCACCTGAGGGGCTGCCCAGTGTCTCGTCGTGTTCCCGGCCCACACCCTGTTGCCAGCCCCGTGACCGGAAGTTCAGTCCCATTCCTCTGCTTTCACAGAAAGGGCTGAAATCAGCATTTTGTACCTCGTGCTTTTACCCGCACTTGCGTTTTTGTCCTACAGTAAATCCACGGACACGAAAGTACTCGGGAATTGCACTTGCGAGATTTAAAAATACGTATTAAAATATTGCCTCCAACGAAGGATTTACCTCCCTGCCCGAGCTTCCCAAGGGCGCGCGCCTCGGCCTGTGCCTTGACCGTGGGGGCTGCGAGGGCTCTTGGCAGAACAGAGGCTCCTTGGCTGCCCGCGCTGTGGAACGCGGCTCCCCGACACCAGCAGGTGCCGCGGTGGGCGCCGCTGCCCGTGAGAGTGCGAGAGGGGAGGGAGGGGTCGCCCGGACGCTGGGGCCCTTCTACCTCCGTCACTTCCTGCACTTTCCCCTGAGCACCTGCCGTGTTTGGTCCCAGAGTCCCGGTGAGTCTCAGATCTCGGCTGCTTCTCCGACGTTTGCCTCCAAAGACAGCCGCAGCGCGGTGCCGCCTCCGCGGCATGGGTCATGAGACAGTTCCGCTGGGAGATCAGTCACGTTTGTGGTTCTGTTGGCCTGGAAATTGTCCTGAAAACGGAAGGAAAACTTCACCCGGACCTGGACGGTCGGTGGTACTTGGACGGCACTGCCAGCTGGGAGGGTGGGATGCGCGGCAGGGCTGCCTGCCGCTGAGGCCGCTGAGGCTGGACAGCAGCGCGGCCAGAGAGCGCAGGGGCCGGAACCGGCGGAGGTACATTTTGGAAGGACTTTAGAGTTCTTTACGGAGCCATTCCCATCTTCTGTTTCCACACACAGTGGCCCAACCTTAGCACTGGGGTCACCCCCCGCTCAGGCCAGCCGCAGACAGCGACCTCCCACGAGAGGGCCGTTCCCCCAGGGCAGTGCTGCTGCGTGGCCTGTGGTATCCGTGGATACACCTAGGCCCGCTTCTTTCTTAAACGCGGAGCTCCAGTGCCGACAGCCCCGTGAATCGCGCCTCCGGGACCACAGCCCCCTCTCCTCACTGGCCCTTTGCAACGCACTCCGTGTTTCTTGTTCTTGGAGTTTGTAGACACTCTGGCGGGCTTGGAGAGGATGTCTTCGTTTTTTAAGTGAAGGATTCTGTGTGTATCCATTAAACAGCCTCGGCGTTATTTGGTTCAGATTTTTGCGCTCGTTTTCATCTGTGTGCTGAGAAATGTGTTAGGTCTCTTCCTACAAATATGAGTATCTCCGTTTACGTCGTGCGTTTGTCCTCTCACACGGGTACCGGTTCGTCTCGGTTTGGAATCGTGCTGTCTTCCTGGTAAGTTGTTAGTCACATTATTGCACCTTGACCTGTATGCGTGACGGTGACGTTTGTGGGTCACTTGGTGATCGTCCATTTTCCCTGTGAGGACACAATCTCTTGGCGGACAGGGACCCGTCTGACCTGTTTGCTGCGGTGACCCCCCTTCCCAGCGTAATGTCCGGCACTCAGGAGGTGCTCGGCAAAGTCTGTGGACCAGGTGAGTGGATGTGAAGGTCGTTACGGTCTCTCTGAAGTGGGCATGTTCAGGTTTTCAGGGTTTGTCAGCTTTTTCTTCATGGGGTCTCCCTGCAGGGACGGGCCGCATGGTTGGGAAGTCCACGTGCCGGGTCACTCCCAGGGGTCAGCGCGGGTCAATGCCGAGCAAGAGGGCAGATGCGTCGTGGAGACGGAGGCAACTGAGCGGCGGGGCCTGATAGTTCAGCGCCCGCCCGAGGGGCGGGAGGCAAAGACAACCGTGTCATTGTATGACCCTTCGGAAGAGCGGGAACCTTTCCTTAAAAGCGGGAAAGAACGTGAAAGTGACATCGTGAAAGAAATGAACTTTTTTTCTGGCCAAGTTGGAGTAAAAGGTCCTCAAGTCTGAAACAACTAAATAAACCAAGCAAAACATGAGACAAAAGTCTTCAAGGGACTGAACAGTGGAGAGTGAAGGAAGGCGAAGCTCGAGAGGTGGGAACAGGTGCCTCCGGGCCTGACCATCAGCTTACGCCTGCGGACGCTGCAGCTCGGCTCGGGAGCGGAGCGCGGGTGAGGCCCGAGGCGGTAGCTGCGCCGCGGAGCAGTGGGTCACCCGGAGGACAGAGCAGCCCCGGTTCACAGGACAGAGCGCCAGGGAGCAGCGAGCCGCGCAAGAGGGGAGCTCCGGACAGCCCCAGGGGCCCCCTTCGAGTCTTCAGCTGGGATCCGACCCGGGCCCGTGCGTACGGGACCCACGCACGCCGGCGAGGGAGCCACCAACCAGGAGACCAGGAACAGTCTGACCGGGATCCAGGGCTGAGAATCGTTCCTGGAGTGGAATTTAAAGCAGTTCGATCTAGGTCCTGGCTGCCCGGCCGCCACACACACCCACATAACCCCAGTGTTGCTTATGTCAGCAGCCAGCGCCCGGGATCCCAGAACCGCCATTGCTCTGCAAGCCTCCCGACGTGGTCTCCAGCTCTACGGCTGCTCCACAGGCGCCCGTGGGCCAGGGGTCAGGGCCAGCGCTGCTAGAGTGCTTGCAACCCAGCCCTAGTGCCCAAAGAGATCCCCATGGCTGCGACCTCCCGGGACCCCAATAGACCTTGAAACTAGAGACCAGCAGCCTTGACTGTTGAGGAATCCTACCGTGTCTGCTGAGGCTGACCTCGGCTGGCGGAGCCTCGTGGGGACGATGACACTGGGCCTTCCCCGCACTAGAGCTGCCGGCCACGTCTCCCTGGCTGGCATTCTCACCCTGCCCCACAGGGGAGGGTCTCTCCCCGCCGGAACTGGACTGTGCCGCCTGGAAAAGAGACGACTTCCTCAGATGCACAGACATCAACACAAGGCTACAACACAGATGCACACCACAAGGAAACACGACACCTCCAAAGGGACACAACAATTTTCCAGGAAGGTGCTCTGAAGAAATGGAGGTTTGTGAATTGCCAGAGAATTCAAAGTGATTGTTCCAGGAAGCTCAGCTACGAGAGAACACAGAGACACAAGGAAATCAGGAAAAACAAGGGAACAAAATGAGAAGTTCAGGGGTGATGAAAATTACTTCAAAACCCCGCTCGAGTAGAAATCCTGGAGCTGAAGAACAAATGCAGTGAGTGAAGTTGGAGGCGTGGTGGGGCTTCGGTCGGAGGCTTGATCAAGCGGAAAAGAGAATTTGTAAACTGCAAGGTCCCTTGAAATTTTTCCAGAAGAAATGAAACAGTACAGGAAGCCGATGTGAATTCTGGGAGCCTAGCAAGCAAAACAGTGTGCGCGTCCCGGGAGTCCCAGAAGGCAAGGGGAGAGGAAGGGGCAAGAAAACAGGTTTAAAAAAATAACGGCTGCAAATTCCCCGAGTCTGGAGAAGAGGTGGTCGTCCAAGGACACGAGGCTCACAGGCCCCGTAGAGATTAACCCAGCGAGGACTGCACCGAGGGACCTTAGAATAAAAGTGCCAGACGGTCTGTTGTAGGAAGTACTATTACTATAGACGGGTTTTGAAAGCAGCAGGAGAAACACGCTGATTCGTACAAGGGAGTCGCCGTGAGGCCGTCGCAGGCTTTGTCAGCAGAGACCTCGCAGGCCAGGAAGGGACCGGGTGACACACCCAGAGCGCGGAAGGCAGAAGCTGCTGGGCAGGACTGTGTTGTCCAGCGACGCTGTCCTTCAGTAGCGGAGGAGGGAGCGAGACGGGAGCGGCGCGGGTTCTTCACGGGAAAGGACAGGATGGGGATTAGCCAGAGGAAGCCGTGCGCCGGCAGAAGCGCACCGGCGGGGGGAGCGGGGGCGCGTCGGAAGGCGCTTCGGCGGCCGGTGCGGCGGGAGCCCGGCCCGTGCGGTCTGGAGGACAGAGTCACCGGGATGACGCGCCGCAGTGACTGGGTCATGGGCACGAAACATTAAAATTGTACATTGTGACGTGAGAAGCATACCGTGTAGTGGGGAGTAGTGACAAGGCAGAGTTGTGTGTGGCTGCAGGAGGTCGAGCCCGCGGCGGACGCTCGCCGCCAGGGTGTTTTCTGGAAGCTTCGGCTGCCCGCGGTGCTCTCACGTGAGAGAGAAGAGCGGGGGCGGGGCTGGGCACGCCGCAGCGGGGACTCGCGCGTCCCGGAAGGAGACGATGGAACGGCTGGAAAGGAAGACGACGGTGGTGAGTCGTTTCCTGCTCACGGCGACGTTTCGGGGGAATGACCGGCTTCTCCCCCGAAGAGACGCGGTGCTGAGCGCACTGCGGGTCGGACACGGCCCGGCTGTCCGCTGCCCCCAGGAGGCCGCTTCGGGCCGCGGGGGACTGAGAGCGAAGGGTGGGAAGCCCGTCCGCAGGGCGGTGAGCGCGAGAGCAGGAGCCGCCGCACTTACCTGAGGTTGAACAGACGCAGCGGGACAGAGAATCGTGCTCCGGTGAGAAACGTCACCCGGTCACGAGGCTGGGACCGGCGCGTCGGGGCACCCCAGGGCGTGGGCGAGTCTTACCACACCTGGAAGCAGAAGTACACGGCGACCCGGTAACCGCAGGGTCTGCGGCCTTTCGCCTTCCCCGGGGACCTGTCACCCACACAGAAAATGGCTGGGGACCTGCTGGCTCGAGCTGCCCTCCAGACCTGATGGGCTTCATAGACGCACACAGAGCAGAGGCAACTCACGCGAAACCAGAAGTGGAAGCAGAGACGGTACCGCCGACACCCCGGGACGCGAAGGGTTGTAGGGCGGCGCTGGGAGCAGCTGCGCCCCGATGAGACG